TGTGTGTGTGTGTGTGTGTGTGTGTGTGTGTGTGTGTGTGTGTGTGTGTGTGTGTGTGTTTGGGTAGAGACTGACTGACTGCATGTTAAGTCAGTTCATGAGGGAGAATGAGGAGAGAGCTAAAGAGAAAAAGTTCATTTACTTTTCTCAGTCTCTAATATTTAAAGAAATATTATGGGTTTTATTATTAATGTTGTCATAGTTGTTGAGTTTTTTTTTTTTTGTTTGTTTGTTTGTTTTTTTAAACTGATGTGATTATTTGGTCACTAATTGCATTTTGTTGTTGCTGTTGTCATTTGAGACGTGGTAATTCTACTTGGGTCCTGTTTTATTTTGGCCTTTTTAACTTTGTGCTTTGCTCCTTGGCAGAGTTGTCTATCTGTCAGGTTGAGAAGTGAAAAATGGACGATAGTGTCTCTGTTGTGCTTTTCTTGTTCAAGTCTTTTTACTTATATGGCAAACGGACGGGAGATGAATCCATGAGTGGGCAGCTATGTTCATACGCCCCTTACATGCTATACGTTACAGAGTAGTAGTAGGCCTTGTGCATACAGATTAGCTGTGCTAGAGCCAGTTTGTTTTGTGTTGGAGAGACTCCTTGAAGTACCCATGCCAGCCTTAGTGGTCCGTCTTCTGGAACAAAGCACTGAAGATGACAAAAACTCAACTGGGAGTTTGTTCGAAGCGGTTCCTTTTAGGTGGGGTTCAGGATGCAAAGGAGTAAAACAGCAGAAAAGGATAGTTTTGCATTGTTTTCCCAGACAGAACCTGTCACATACTTATAAATTGGTTTCAACATGTTATAGATCCACTCTTAGTTTACTTGTTCTTAAAATGTGCACAGAGGTTAAAGATGAATCCAGTTGACTTTGTTTACTAATCTGTAGGAAAATACTGTTTTGTTACTCTTTGAGGTGTACAGTACACGCTTTCAGAAAGGTTTGGTAGCACTGACTGGGATAAACATGATAAAACAATAGAGTAAACATTTTTTTCCTGAAATTTCCAATCTGCAAGTGGACAATATAACTTCCCTCCTTAATTATTCACTCCTTTTACTTAGTGCATGTCTCCGTAAAGATTGCAAGAGAAAGCAATAGGTGAACCTAAAAGCTTACACGCAATGTGTATATGTGATATTGCATCTCAGCAATACTAACTGTCCATCCATCCTATAGAATTGGTCCTACTGTCTTAATTTCAGCCTTAGAAATAATATTACTAAATGCCTTGGGGTTTTTTTTCTTTCTGTGCAGTTACAAATATGTTTGTATTTGTGTGTTTACTCCAGAACGAGTTTGAACCTGATCACTGGGCAGCATAATGAATGTAAATTAACACCAACAACAAAAAAAAAAAAAAGTAAAAAAGAAAAAAAAGGGTCAAAGACTTGATCCTAGGTTTTCCCTCTGGGAGTAAACCAAGGATAAGTTTTCTCTACTCCCAACATTCTTGTTAAATTTATGAGATGTTATGTTGGAACTCCGCTTTGTTGCAATTAGTAATGTGATTGAATTTATAAGCATCCTTATATATGGTCTCTTAATTTCTCTGTTGTATTTTCTCACCTCTCTATGTATATACCCGTCTTATTTTTAAAGTAATGAATTGTAATCGCTTCAAGCTTAATGCTTGAGGGATGGCTCATGCACTCTTGCCATTATAGCAGTACAGAATTTTGGCAGTTTGCTGATCATTGCTAACATGTGACTCCCCGAAAGTAGTATCTCACCTTTATGAAGTCTTTATCTGGCTTTCTCATTCCTGGGGTGTTTCCCATCACCAGCAACTCTGTAGATATTGTACAGAAAAGCATTATGAAGTATGATTTTTTTTTTTTTCTGCTACAGTTGTAGAGTGAGCTCTTTTGAAAAAGAAAAAAGTATTCATGTCTTTCTCCCCATGCTTTTTATTTCTTTTAATTAAACAAACTCTTTATGAATTATACAATTTATTACATAGAAGTCATTTTAAACTAAACCAAAGTGATAACTGAAGAGGAGAAATCTATCTTGTATGTAATAGTAGAACTGTGTATGAACAGTACTGCATAGTGTAACCAGCAAAAATGATTTGTTATTTTTATATTTCACTGTTGTATGTGTTCTGATTAGGTTCTTTTGCTTGATCCCATTTGTCACAATCACAAAAGAGATAATTAAATGTATAGTGCTTATAGGCTTTGTCATATGTGTTTTTACTGATGCTTTTGCAGCTATTTTACTCTGTCAAGTCATTGTTACTTTCCATGTTTTTGGAAGTAAAGAACCACCAACATTTTAAAAGTTGATGCACAATGTTGGAATTTATGAAAATAATTTAAAAGATAATATGGTCCAGGATATGGTTATGGTTATATACCTGGTTATTAATCAGGTTATTGTCTTCTGAATCAGTATGAATATATACATCTTGGTTTTGTTCTTAGTAAATGCTGTTGAGACAAGGCAAAAGGTGTGTATGAAATTCAAACATTTATAATTTTTTAATGGCTTTACTGTAGCTGAGGAAGCTTGAAGAACCAGGAGTACACTACTCTTAGATATTTTTCTTCATGTTCTTATAGTATATAGTTGCCAAGCTTGCACCATTAGAAAGTATTACAATTTTGCAGACTTGTGTTATGCTTCCTCATTTTATGGTTACGGTCAGTTTCACTTACTATTTAAAGCTACATATATCTTTCAGCCCTTGGCTGCTCCAGTGTGATTTTCTCTAAAGCTGCATTGGAAATGCCTCTACTGTAATGGCGGAATAAATGGTACAAATAACCTCATCGTTTAGGCACGGCTTGGACGTCGATGCGCATGCGCAGGCTTTTACTTTGAAAGGCACTACCGCGTAACCGGAAGTTGATTATTGAAGTCATTTTACTACAGACTGGGAATTTTTGGGGCTCGCTCGAGGAAAAAGAAACGGTTCTAGTTAGTCTCTATTCATAAACTCGATTTAATAAGTAATTCAGTGTATTTTAACCATGTGGCTAACGGGTTATAATTGCACAGCGGAATAGCGTCAGGCGATTATTTGAACAGATAAATTTGCTCTTGCTCGCTGTCAGGTCGTATTAAACTAGCTAGGCACGTAGGAGTAAGCCGAATCGGAAAGACTCTGAACTCTTTAGGTCACTTTGTTTCGGCGCTGAAACGAGAGAAATACCCGTTGAGTGAAGTTAAAGCAGTGTACGGTGCAGTAATGGGAGCACACAGGAGTGAGGGACGCAGAGAGTGGCTCCAGCATGACGCCGGGGAGCAGCAGCAGCAGCAGCAGGTTCAGTCCATGGTGAGTCACCCGGGGGGAGGAGGAGGAGGAGGAGGAGGGAGGAAGCTAGCTGTCTCTCTCGCTCTCGCTCTCGCTCTTTCTGTCTCTGTCTCTCATTTTTACTAAGTCTTTATTATCGGCTAGTTATCCATTAAACCACTTTAATTTGGCGTGTTCACTGGTGAAAGGACTCGCTCCAAGTTTGGTTCCGTCCAAAACTGCATACTGTTTAGTGCGCTAGTTTTAGTATAGTATATAAGCATTAAAGCAGAACGCGTACTGTTTAGTAGGGCAGTACACAGTTTTAAGCGTTTGTCTGGTGTATCTGTCACTTCCGGAACGGAGAGTCAAACTGGGCTGCCCCACACTGCTGTGTTTTCTGCCTCAAGCAGTTCATAAGCTCCTCTTGCAGAAACATTATTCATGTAAAGCAGTGCTTCTCAAAGTGGGGAAGCATGTTAAGGGGATTTTGTGGGTTTTATTTTATTTATTTGTAGGTACAGTAGTGAAAATCACAATCCACCATGATCAAACTACTTACAAACTACTACCCCTTTTTACTGAGTTCTTATTATTAGCCAGTTTGAGTGCTCTTTTGAATTGGATGGGTTTAATCCAAACCTCAAGAATTAAAAAAAAAAAGAAAGAAAAGAAAAAAAAGAGCATGCCTATAAGTAATAATTTCACCTGCCTATAAGTAATAATTTCACCTGTCTGCATGCCTATAATTTCACCTGCCTGTAAACCTATAATTTCACCTTGAAATCTCTAATGAATAGACAAAATATTATTGTATGTG